AAGTAAAAATTAACTTTACTAACTTTATTATGAGCAGAAGTAAAAATGAACTTTAGTAACTTTATTATGAACAGAAGTAAAAATGAACTTTACTAACTTTATTATGAACAGAAGTAAAAATTAACTCTACTAACTTTATTATGAGCAGAAGTAAAAATTAATTTTACTAACTTTATTATGAACAGAAGTAAAAATTAACTTTACTAACTTTATTATGAACAGAAGTAAAAATTAACTTTACTAACTTTATTATGAACAGAAGTAAAAATCAACGTTTCTGGATTTTCTTCCCAGACACACTGAATCAGAACGGTTTCTAATTTTTAATGTTTTTCTTGTGTTCAGCAGTTACCGGACAGTCCGGGGGTTTGGAGAACACCAACGGTTCCACCTCCTCCTACAGAGACATGGCTGTTCAGACAGGTACCCTCAGAGGAGAAGGGACGAGTTTAAAGCCTTTTTACAGATCGGTCCAACTTTTATCAACTCAGTCAAAGTTAGTTTGCAGTTTCAGAGTCGATTAAACTCTTTTTAACTACAAAGTTTTTCTGTTTTTATCTAGTCAAGAGTTGAGCCTAAAAAATGGCACCTTTGCTTTTTAATTTTTACTTTTTTTTGCAAATGTTTTGATTTCCAGGGACTAGTTTGTGAGTTAATTATATATATGGAGGAAGTTTGGTGAAATTCAGGATTACATCTTCCACACTGTGTTGAAGGTTTTGTTCTTAGCTTTGCACAAACTGAACTTTCCCATCATGCTGGTGTTTTTATTTACTTCTCTCTGTGCAGAAGAGACTCCTGATCTCGACCCAAACGCAGCGACAGCTCAGTCTTCAGATGTCGCCGTGCCACCTCCCCCACGACCCGCTGCTCCTCCAAACAGCAGGAGTCAAGCGGGGAGAACGGGGAAGGAGAACGTCCGTCTGCCGGCGGGCGGAGACCCGTACGAGCCGTTCTCCAGGACGGAGCGGAGCTGCAGAGACAAGAGGAGGCCGGACTGGAACACACACAGGTCCAAAGAGCCGTTTAGACCGAGACGATAACCGCAGCACAAACAGGAACACGTTTAAAACGAGTCTTTTACTTTTACTGAACTTACCGTAATTACTGGTGTATAGAGCGCACCTGAATAAAAGCTAAACACTACATAATACAACTAAATTTAACTAACACTAAATAAATAAATTTTGTACACATTTAAGCCGCAGGTGTTCAAGTTGTAACGTGAGCGGCAGCACAGCTACTGAGATGTTCAGCTCTTGATGTAGATCCAGAATCAACCACCAGATGGTGTTTCATAGACTTTATGTTACTGTTCAACACACCCCTCAGGTCTTCATGACAACTACCTCCCTCACTCATGATTACTCTACTGAATGGTCCAACACACGATGAACACAAACTAACACGTGACGAACACAAACTAACACGTGACGAACA